TTAAGAGAGGCAAAAAGCAACTTCTTGATCAATAGAATCAAACCAAAGATACTATATGCTAGTATTTAGAAAAGTTAAATCCCTCAGTTGTCTCTGATAAATCAATTCTCCATTCACATTACGTGTGTGTATGTGTGAGTGTGTGTGTGTGTGTGTGTGTGTGTGAAATGAGAGAGAGAGAGAGAACAGGAATTGATTGATCTTCAAGGCTTAGACTATCTCATTTTAGCGCTCTCTCTGAATTCAGATATAGATTGACTTAAGCAATAAGCAAACAAACTATAAAACAGAAAAAAAAATTCAGGGACACCCGGGTGGCTCAGTGGTTGAGCATCTACTTTTGGCTCATGGCATAATCCTGGGGTCCCGGGATTGAGTCCCACATCGGGCTCCCTAAAGGGAGCCTGCTTCTCCCTCTGTCTGTGTCTCTGCCTCTCTCCTTTGTCTCTCATGAATAAATAAATAAATCTTTAAAAAAAAAGAAAAATAAAAAAATTAAAACAATCTTTTTTGTTTTTTCTCTCTTTTCTTCACTTTTTCTAGCTTTTGATTCTACCAGCTTATAAGAAGACTAGAAAAATGGTGATTCAGACATAATTCCCATTTCTGATGCACTTGTTTCAATTCTTTAAAATCAGAATAAAAATATATGGACAATTGTCCCATGTTTAACCATGATATTACTATCCAAAAACATATTCTAGCTATTTTCCTATGGCTTGGAGAGGAAAACCAGGGTTAGTTTACTTTTAGAAAGTAATTTTTAGTCTGCTTATACATGATAAAAAACTATGACAATAAAAAGGTAAATGCTAGCAAAACTGAAGTATCCCTAAATACTTCAGTAGAATTCTTATTTCTGGTTATAACATTACCTAATGCTAACACCTCCGTTAGTTTGACCACTTTGGTTGTGACGCATAATAATCAGTGTTTCTTGAGAAGAGCATATTGCTTAGTGCAATTCCTGTAGGGGACTGACCTATAATATATCAATTAGGAAAATGCTAAATTTTCCAAAAACTTATAGGTTATAAAGAACATATCCAGACACATCATATATGTGTCTTCCTTAACTTCTGATGTGGAAGGAAACAACTGTGGCTTACTAGCCACGCAAGAGAATGTCTTAACGATTAACAGCGTACGTTTCTTGGTCAGTAGGGACTGCTCAGAAAGAAGAGGTAAACATTCAAAGCTTAATGATTTCTCTTGTGCATCACTTCCATGACTCATGGCAGATTTTCCCCAGCTAGTTCTAAAATGATTAATCTGCTCCAATGAGTCAATAGTCTCTCATCTTCACATTTCCTTAGGCACTAGTGACAAAGGTTAATAAATCATACAATAGTATTCGTGTGGGTGTGTATGTGTATTTCTACTCCAGGCTTACCTAGAAAAGGTATAGAGTAGTAGGCTCCCTGGTGTACATTGTGTGTGCCATCCCTGGTAGCACTGTGATACTATGTTCCCAGGACAGTGGAGATGGAAGCAGCAGTAAGCCTCAGTGAGATAACTGTTCACACTGTAGATGAGGTTTGGGATAAGAATACCTTATTTTCCAATCAGAATCGAGACAAAGAATGGCATACTCAAAAATCTCCCCATACTGTCTTCTAAGATGCTAGAAACTACCTAGAGTCTTTCTGTTTTAGTTGATGAAGTCAATGTTACAATTTCTGGAAGGTTATAATTTAAACGCCTGCATATTACTACTAAGTCATTATTCAAATATCCTCTTTCCCTGGCTGGCCCCACTATGGTTTAGGATTGACTCCTAAAACACCAGAATTGCATGAGCATAGGCTAGCATGGGGTGAACAGAGCATGAAGAACATCCCAGGATAAATTCTTTAGGGAAGGACAAGGCTTGAATGACATGAAATTAAAGGCAAATATCAGAGACAGGATCTTCCAAATGAAAGAAGATAGGATGGGAGTAAATGTGTACATAAGATGGGATATATATAGGCCGATTACCATTGCTTTGACATATCCATGCTTACCTTTGTCTATCACTGGAAGTATATTATGTGGTTAAAATGGAATCATTCAAATATTCTTTTTATTCACTATTCTGTTATGGTGAGGTGGCATGCTTGGTTAGTGGGGAGTCACCCTAGAAGGTTGGCAAGAGATGAAAAATCAGATACATAGGTTTTCATATGAGGAATAGAAAGGGCCACAGAACTTAGAATAAAAAATGAATAACACACAGGAGAGTAGATCCTAGAGCTTTTAGTATTTATGATGAAGGTGGAATCCAAGCAAGGGGGTAGGGATACATTATAGTGAGTCAGGAAGAAAAAATAAGGAAGGAAGAAAAAAAGAAAATCTTTTCATTTTTAGGTATTTCTACAAATTTACTTGAAATTAACAGTATTGAAGCAAAGGACAGCTTTATTAGAAAAGATAAAATATATTGACATTCTTTGTAAGCCAGCAGGTGCCATTAAAACATAAATGACAGTATCACTGTTATTATTAGTACTATATATTGATAATGGCATGGTTGCCTGAGAATACTAATTATACATGCCAATTCGAAGATACTCATATTTGATTCTTATTATGTATTTTCTCCACAATTTGTAAGCTACACCAAGCAAATTTCGTAAGTAAAAGGGGTGAGTATTTTAACAAAGTTTAGGTAGGGAAAGTTTAGAGATGGGAAAAAAAGAAGAATGTTTAGCATTTAGAATAGTAATATAATCACAAGAATAAGAAGGGGCAGGAAAATTGAATTAAAGTAGTGATATTGATGGCATTACCCATACAGGGATAAAATATTATTTTACAACACACTAAGACATTTTAAAAGACAAATTTGACAGTGAACTAAGGCATTTTCAAAGGCAATAATCTACCCCTTGGAAAATATCTTAATAAAATAGATTCTTGGAAAGTTATCTCTTTCAGGAAGCTAAGTGACCAAAAATATCCCTATGACTACAGAATAAAAGGGATTAAAGCTAAACTGAAAGGGATTAAAGTATTCAAAGTCCAATACATTTTCTTCAAAATTTAAGAGAAACGGCTGAGCCTGGTAGTATTCTGAATGTTAATAAAATGCACCATTTGTTCAAGAAAACAAACCTTGAATACCAACTGACCATTGCTATCCCATCAAAATACAAAGCTGAAGGAATCACACCAGTTCTGATGCTATTCACTAGATGGAGACATTCTTTATATATTCTTATTTACTACTGAGTGAACTATGACAGGTCTCATGCCAATCAAGAATTTAGTTATTTAGTAATCTCGTCTCACTCTTCCATGCTGCTCCTTCACATAAAACAAGCAAAAAGCCCCAAACGAATTTAGTTTACTCTCAATTATTTAGGTGAACAGAGTTCAATATGATTCATCGAAGGATGCCTGGGTGGCTCAGTGGTTGAGTGTCTGTCTTTGGCTCAGGATCCTGGAATCAAGTCCGACCTTGGGCTTCCTGCTCAGTGGGGAGTCTGCTTCTTCCTCTGCCTATGTCTCTGCTCTCTCTCGGTGTCTCTCATGAATAAATAAATAAAGTCTTGAAAAAAAAATACGATTCATCAAAATAAAACAGACCACTCTCCTGACCTCTATTCCTGTCTACCTGGATGTTCCCTATTTGGCTTTAAAAAGATATACCAAAATCTATGTGTCCAGACTATATTCAGCTCACCTGAATGAACATCAATGAACTCTACTGTCTCTCAACCCTGCCTCCCCCCTGTCCACCCCCCCTGTGCCATCTCAGTATCACTTAATTGACTACCAATCTTACTTCTCTTTCCTCCACTGGGTGAACCGAAAGCATGCACACAGGCAGGAGAGCATCTAAACAGTATCTGCTTCCACTTTGGGACCTAAATATTTCTCAGGCTAGCAGTCTGGAAAGTACTTGTTTATCACAAAACCAACAAATGCATGCAAATAACAACCATTAAGAAGAATCCTTCTTTTGTCCCCATTTACATGCATTTATGCTCTCATTCCCTGCCTAGGACTTTCCTTCAGGACACCTTACAGTGTGGTTAAAAAAAAAAAAAAAAAAAAAACACCCAAAATGGTGTCACTTAGGCCAGGTACTCGAATCTGAGATCAATACCTAGTTTAATTGCAGTTTTAATCTCCTCCAGAAATGTAGTCTTAATCAGTTAGTAGTATTCTGATGGGTTCCAATTGAGTCTGGCAGGGGCTCTCTCCATCCCCTAAGGAGGAGGAAGGAATCTGTCTGATAAGATACCCTCCACTTCCTTCCAGGGAAAGCAACCCTGTAGGTAACAATTCTTTTATTTTGCTAATAACTTTCTTGCCCCACCCTCCTTCCTGTAAAACTCTTTCATTTTGTAGAACTCCTTAGAGTTCCCCTCTACTTGTAGATGGGATGCTGCCAATTCATGAATCATTTAATATAGCCAGTCAGATCTTCAAATACACTAATTTGATTTTCGTGTTTTAACAAGTGTCACTTGACTTGTGGCCCTGCTTTTGGTCATTTCTGTTATCATGGGGTTACAATATGGAAAATGACTTGGCATCCATAATAACCATGCCCATGTTCAGTGCACTTCTTCCTTGATTGTGGCCCTTAATTACTCTGAGGTCAGTTGCTTCCCTTCTAAGGTTTTTTTTTAAACCAACTTATACTTCTGTGATAAAAAATATGCTATAACTCAATAATATCATACTGTAAGCTCTAATCATCTTATAAACAGTGGTTAATATGGAACTAACCCTTCTGTTCTTTCATCATTGTTGGACTTTGATTCTGCTCTTTTATTTCTAAAACTGTATGGGGTTTATTTTCATTGTTTCTTTCTCTTTTGAATAGATAGAGCTCCTTTTTCTGACAGTTTTATTGAGATATAATTGACATATAACATTGTATTAATTTAAGATGTAAAATACAATGATTTCATATATATAATATATATTTTATAAAAATATATATATATTGCAAAATGATCACCACAAAAAGTTTAGTTACCATCCACTAGCCCACACAGTTACAAAAATATAAGGAATACTTCACACATTTGCATGTCATCCTTGTGCAGGAACCATGCTAATCTCTGTAGAGTTCCAATTTTACTCTGTGTTCTCCCAAAGTGAGCACTAGAGCTCCTTTTCTTTATTCCAATGGGAAACAATTTTCCACATTTTTCTTGTCTGGATTCCTACAAATTACAATTTACCTTCTCTACTTAATCCTTTCCAGTCTGTTCTTTGGAACAGCCAGCAACAAGTCCAATCTAGTCACTTCCTTGCTTAGTTTCCTCATAGTCTCAAGAGTTAAGTCAAACCTACTAAGGGAATCATAACAAGCTGGTCACCATGCAGTCCCTCCCTGGCCTTCAGCAACACTCCTTAACTTTCCTAACTCCTATATGAAGACCCAGACTGCTCTTGCCACTTGGAATCACTTGTAGTTCCCCAAACAGGACAATTCATTCTCCTCCGTGCCTTTACATAGGTAGCTTTTCTCTTACTCAGTATGCATTCTGACCTCTTGCCTCTCTGCCTGGCCACTTCAGCTAGTCTTCCAAGATGCAGATCACTTTGTAACATTCTCAAATATCTACCTTCATCTCTCCAAGTCAGTCCTTCCAGCTGAGTTCAGCTTCTCATCTCTGTAGCCCAGTACCTAATGCTTCCATTTATCATGTGATTGCATTGCATCATCCGTTTACTTGTTTGCCTTCAGCAGTATAACCAAAGATCCCTAAAAACAGGGACCATATCCTAACCATCTTTGTATCACAAGCATCCAGTAATGACTGATATTAATGGAATCTAGGAAAAATATTTAACTGAGAATAACAATATTCTAATATCGGTCTGTTCTCTAATGTTGACATAGCTACCTTGAATTGTGTTGGAAGTAGAAAAGGCAGTACCTTCACTTGAACTACAAAGGAAACCAGTATCTCTCATTAAGGTTCAGGGTATTTCCACTGTGAAGTATGAACTTTAATTTTAATAAAATTGAACAGATGACCTTACCAGTTTGATCAACTCTTCTCTCATTGGTATCTGTATAGCAGATGGCATAAATAACTCAACATGTATTTAACTAATGATTTTTAAAATTGAAAAAATATAAAATATTTCAAATTTATTAGGTATGCTTTCCTTCGTGAGTGCCTTCTCAGGGGATTAGCCTCCCTGCTAATTTTCAGACATACTTTCATATGGTTCTCTCCTCACTTGTTTTCTTTTGGGAGGAAGGCAAATGTCCTTTCACAATGATATACTTATGCTTTTCTGGACTCAAAGTGCTGAGAGTTAAATTTGAAACACCACTTTTTTTTATTTTCATTTTTTGAAACACCATTTTAATAATGCAAATATCATTTACATATTTTCATCAGGCAAAGATGGAACACATACCCAATATACATCAACGGACAATGACCTAACAGAAGTTGCTTTGGTTCCCTTAGATGAGAATGATCTAACATTGACATTGGAGGTTACAAATGTGGTCCGTTATCACATGTGGAACGGAATGAGACTAGCCTAGTGAAAACAGTTCTTAGAGGTGTAGGGAGGCAAGCCCTTGTGGAACATATATAAAATGTGCAGTATTATTTATATGGTGTTCTTATTTAGCTTCCCATGATTCTTGTGCCTATGGAAATAAAACAATGAAAAATACTACTTTTGCTTTCCAAATATAAACAATCGAATATGATTATTCTCAATATATTTCAACGTTCCCTTTAGGGTAGAGAATAAAAGTGGTAGAGGTTTCTCCATATTAGAATAAGTAATGAATCCCTTGTGAGTAGGGGACACTAAGTCATCCTTTTTTTTTTTTTTTTTTTTTTTTTACTATTCCTCACCACCCTTAACTCCTATAAAAATGATGATGGCAGTGCAAAACCCTGGGTTGCCAAATTTTAGGATTTCTTGGGCTTCCCAGAATCATTCCCCATGTATGGAACAAGTAACAGAGAACACATTTAAATATAATAAAGTTTGAGTGTGCTTTGCCAACAACCCTGAACAGGTTAACATTGAGAAGGGCCGAAAACTCAGTAGGTAATGAGAACATCCAATGTGGTTTTCTCTTAGTGCAGTTTCAGGCATTAAATATTAGTGAATTGACTGTTTTTGATAGATGGCCTGAGGTATTAAGTAGCTACTCATGATTTAGTATTGAACAAATTACCACTAATAACTTTTCTGACCAAGTTAATGTAACATTTCTGTAATATATTATGATCTGGAAAAATCACACAGCAATTATCAGAAAAGCAATTTTTTAAATTAGTATTTGGTACTAAGTTAGGCCAAGGTCAGAGTTAAAGGCAGAATCAATAGTTTGTTTTTACTAGGTCCTTTAGTATTTGACCTTTAAACTGCTGTTTCGTCATTCCATAGCTATTGCAGAGTAAGTGATCATGTTATATCCAATTTCATTACTAAAATAAATACAAGGTCATTGCCTCTAGCAGGTGACTGGAAAGAATACAGTGCAATCTTCTTATTCATAATACCCCCCAAAAAACTAAGAATTTTTCTCAAGGCCTTTTGAATGTACTTGGAATGTAAATTAATGAAACAATAGGTTACACCTGTAGTCAGCTATGATCAATTTAATATGGCCAAACAGACAAAAGCAGTTTCCTTAAATAAGAGCTACCCAGGGTCTTATTAGTGCAGAGAGAAAAAAAAAATCAAGGTCATGCTAAAGGTGTATGACTTCATGGTGGAAAATTTCAATCCTCCAAACACCTCCCAGAAAAGAAACCAAAAGCAAGAGGAACAATAATCATTAAGCAGATTTCAAAATCTCATTTAGACCAATGGACAAATACTAAGGAAAAAGAGTAGAAATTCTAAATATACTGAGGTATATGTTTTTACAGAGTAAGGTTGACAAGGTTGGCAAGGCATGGTATGTCTCTTATTAGAATGGCATATAGAGGGGTATATTGGTGGCTCAGTGGTTGAACAGATGTCTGCCTTTGGCTCAGGTCGTGATCCCAGGGTCCTGGGATCGAGTCCCACATCAGGTTCCCCTCAGGGAGCCTGCTTCTCCCTCTGCCTATCTCTCTGCCTCTCTTCTGTGTCTCTCATGAATACATAAAAAAAATCTTAGAAAAAAAAAAAAGAATGGCATATAGCATTATCACCACACAAGTTTACATATGAGAAAGTAGGTACCCTGAAATTCTAAAGCAGCAGTTTCATGTGAATTACATCTTAGAAAGAAAAAGGTCTATGAATTGATTTTAGAAAAAAAATAAAAATTTTTACTTATCTTTTAATCCTATCTTGCCAAATTTAGATTGATCAAAGAAAAAGTGCTTATAATGTACTCTGCTAAAATATAAGCAACGTAAGGTGAAAAAACATACTTGTTAAATGATATTTATTCAACAATATGCAAACATAAAGATTAAACATGTTTGCCTCATTATATTTGTTTCCAACTATTTTAATATATAGTTAAATTTATATTATATAATATTTATGCATATATAAAGTGAGGGCAATCACCATCACAGAGCTTGCGTGAGCTAAAAAATAATGGTCATAGCATTAATTGACTTCTAATCTATTTAATATTGTTTTTGCAAGCAGCTTTCAAAACCAAGCAATCTAATCTTTTCTAAATGGCATTATAGTAGGAAAAAGGTCATGTGTTTAGACTGGCAAGCCCACGAGGAAAATAATAGTAAGTTTCTAGTTAGACTCTGATGTGATAAATCAATAGAACTGTCAACAGCTGGGTCCTGAGATTAACACAGATGTGGGAAGAGAAAGCAAACATAACTGTGGAAATGGAAGCAAATACTATGCTTACAGACAATAGCCATCTGGGAATCGTTTCTTTGAGCAGGAGTTATAAATCAAGGCAGTTTGCCTGTAGAAAGTTCTAATACCTTTTTGTAAAAGTACTTAATTATAATGTGGAGATTTATCCTAATTCTATATGCCATTGACATAATCCAACCCAAGAGTATTACCAAAGCATAAATTGTACATTTACATTGGCATGACTTCTCTTCACCATAGAATATTCAGAGGTAAATAGTAGTTTGGCATTTACATCCTTTTGTATCAGGAAGCACTACTGATGAAGAATTTCTATTTTTGCCAGATATCCTCTGGAACACTTAAAGGAATTCAGGATGAACATCATACTATGTCAAGACTGGGCTTGCTTAAAAGTATCAAATATCATGTGCTTTGCTTGGGGGAGCTGATAGTGTGGCATGTTATGACACTATACAAGCTTCCTTTGCTGAATAAACTTAAAGGACTATAAGCTATTATTTCATACCCTGAAAGACCCAAGGCATAGGTACTAGGATGGGAGAGTCTCATGGAGACACTGGAACAGTTTACCAAGTGGATGTTTATCCACCACTTGCAAGTAATGAGAGGTATGTCAGATGCAAGTAATCAGTATCTTATGTGAGAGGCTGATTCCTTGAAATCATGAAGAATGAGAGAGGAATAAGTGAATGTCAGCATACTAACCAAGAGCCCAAAGGAGTGCCAGTAACTAGGATGTTGAAGCAATCAAGAGCTAGAAGTCCCCTAAGATATTTGTGTAAGTGAAGTGTTGCTATTTGAAAATAAGCTATGATACTGGAAATCGTCCTTTCCATGTCTGTCTTTCACCTTTCTCTGCTCTTTACTCAGGAAACTGATCCTTGTAGATTACACTTAACAGGATCCCTTGCCCCTGATTTCCAGCTGGATTCAATCGCCTGACAAAGATGCAAGGGAAGAAGGAAAATGTAATCAGTATTTTGAGCTTCCACTTTGAAGAGAGTGAATTGGCGATATTTTCTGTTAAAGTTAACTCCTATCGATGTGGCCCCATTTACAAGACTCCCTTTTCTGACTTTCAGTGTTGGTAACAGTTCTGTGATAACTCTCCCTGGGCACCATGCTATTCCCTGTGGTCACCAATATCCCACTCACAATGTGGTAAATGATCCTCTTTTATTTTTTAAATTATTAAAAAGATTTTTTTCAAGTATAATTAACACACAGTGTTATGTTATTTTCAGGTATAAATATAATGATTCAACAACTCAATAGTATTCAGTGCTCATCATGATAAGTGTACTCTTTATCTCCTTCACCTATTTC